TCAACTAAAAACCCAACCTTTTATTTTTTAGCCTATTGGCAAAACAACATCGTTTTTCCATTTCCTCTTCTTAACCCCTTCAAGTTTCTAACTTTACAAAGACAGTCCATTAACTTCTAATTTTATCATTTAGCTCCAATTAAAATTAGGCTATGACAAATATAATGATAAGTAGATTGTCGAACTCATGAGAATTATGATTAACTAAGTATCAAAAATAATTAATTTAAATTTATTTAAACAATAAAAAAAGAATAAGCTATAATTAAAAATAATAAAAAAATAACAATTAAAATAAACTAATTAAAAGATGAGGCACTAAGGCATTGATTTCACCATAATCAATCAATATAAATTTTGAATTAACATGCTTCCAAAAACAATTTGTTGAATGTTATTGCATAAAATGGTGGATTTCCCTAAATTAATTAATTAACTAACTTTCTCAAGTCAAGTTAATCTTTCATTTGTTTGTCAAATTAATCATTTCTCTTTGTAATTTTAAATAAATTGATGAGCATTAAATTCAATGAAAACCTCTAGCTAATTAAGAAGTGGGAGCTCTTGACTCTCTTCTCTTCATCTATTACTACATGTGATGCTAATTACCTCTCAGTCTCATAATCTAACATGATTTATATTATTATTGGTTTAATTTACACAATTTTTTTTTCAAGTTCATGCATAAATCAAGCTTTTAATACATTAAACTCAATAATATAAATTCACCATGTAAATAATTTTAATTAAAAGTATAAAATCACAAAATTTACAATAAATTGATTAGGGTACATTGTAGCCACTACTAGAATTCATTAATTCACTGACAAGAAATCATGTCAGAAAGAAAGGGAATCACATCGGTAAAATAAGCTTTCAACTTGAATCATGTCGGTGATTTGTTTATTGGTAAGTCACCTCAGTAATTCATTTACCAACATAGATTAAAGTTATGTCAGTAAGATGACTCCCAATTACTAACAGGCAACATGTCTTCGACATTGTACCAGAGCAATAAAACTAAAGATCTTTTTTGGTAACCCACATTGGTAATTTACCGAGGAAGATCACGTCCCCAAGTACAACCAATGCCTCTAAAGGTAAGCTATGTCGGTAATTTACCGAGGAGAATGTTGTCTGAAATTTATTAATTACCCACAAGATTTGAATCAACAATGTACAGTGCCATTCTTCGGTTTTGCAAGTTACCAACGAAGACAACGTTGGTGCAAGGGGCTTCCAAAAGGAAATTCACAGTTTAAGCTTCAAGTTACCGATGAAGGTAAGTAACATTAGTGCAGGAATCTGCTAAAATAATAATAAAAAAAAATTTCTTGAATTAATATTAATTTCCAACTTCTATGGTTACATTCCAACTAGAAATTATCTTCATTAGAGAGTAGATTTCTTGTGGGAAAGAGATGAAACATCTTCTCTTCTTATCCATAAATTGCAAGTTGTTTCTAATAGACTACATTAGTTACTTCTGAGATCTGACATTCTGACTTTCGTTTTACAGAAGAAAGCCGATACTGAAATATGCCCACAAGTATAGGTTGGGACTGTGGAGGCCTCAAGCTGAGCCTGCAAAGGCATAATGAAGGACAGCAGCAATATGATAGAGTCTTTCCAAAGGACATTTCTTCTCCTTGAGATGAGAAACCGTTGGAGTTTTGGCCTCAATGTCTGTAACCCTATTTAACGGACGGAGTATAGTGGTTTAGGTCAACAGATACTGTAAGCATATCTCACAGCCTCAAGAATGTTTTTTCATTTTGCATCCATTTCAAATGGAGAGCTGCAGTTGGTATTGGATGATTACTTAATTGAAAATGGAGGGCTTCTGTTAAAATTTACACTTTTTTTGGGGGATAAACTTTGTTTTTCCATCTCCCCAAATGTGCTTCATTCTCCTTTCTAGGTAACAAAGGCAAAATGGGGTTTATCTGAATAGTTTCACACACACTTGTCCAATGGGTTTTTTAATTTGTTGTGGTACTAACTTGGTTGAACACTTATAACGTGGATGAAAACTTAAACCATGTCCAAAAATTTGTTCCCAACAAGATAAGCATTATAAGCATCAAGAACTGCAAACTTGACCTACTCCACGGAAAACACCCTCGCTTTCCATGAAGGAGTCTTGGTGCAATCAACAGTTGATTGCTGAATTAGCATCCCAGCTATATCAGCCAACTCTTCGAATCCATGTCACTGCATAAGATCAGGATTCATTAGAACCCTAGCAGCCAAATAGCCCAGCTCAACCCCACTCTTGCATTTTAAATAACGTTTGTAGACGCCGCCGCTTGTGTGCAATGGCAGTTCTTAACTCAGAAACACCAGTATCAATCAGAGCAGCTTGATCAGCTACACGTACCTTAACCTTGGACATTTTGAATGTCAACTTCGTATTGGCTCATTTTTGACAGGAAAGAGATTGGTATTATCCGGAACTTTTGAAGTCTCTATTACATTTAGGGTATAAATTCTGCATGGACGCATATTAATATATATAGCCAGAATGTAAGAGCACGTACGGTCTGGCCTCCTTGAGAAATGAAGAACCTTCTTTAACCACCATTAAGAGTTGCCTTCCAAGATAACCACTACTTTTTCATCTTCTGCTTGGGTACTTGAGCCTCCTTTTAGGGGTGGTATTAATTGAATCAAGTAACCATATCAGCATAATTCCAATGAGATAAGAAGCATAGGTATACTATAAAAAATGTCAAAAAAATTTTCTGTTCGTTGGCTAATGATGTCCTCTGCCACAGCAATTAATTATAGAACTTCCCACCTAATTTCCCTTCCAATTTTCCATTTTCGGCTATGATATGCATTGTGAAGGTGAAAGGATTATTGGAGAGAGTTTTACATAGACTGAAATTGATGTTGATTGACTGAACATTCAAATGAAACTTGTGTGCATGATTCCAAAGAGCCATGGAGCATGAATAGGCACTAAATGATGTCAACACTTCTGTTCATTGGCTAGAGGCAAGTGCTCTGCTACTCCAATTAATTGGACAAGTTCACAATCTGAATTCTACCTACTCGAACATAATGCTCATAAATCATAATCCAATATTTTAAGAATATGCGTATCAGAAATTGCTTATAAATACTTACTTATATATATATAACCTTGTTTTCTTAGCATGTCGATTTATAAAACAGCAAAACAATGTGTAGAACGGAACAGAAAAGCAAAACATGACCCTTATCACAGACACAATCCCATCAAGATTCAAGATTCAAGAACAAAACACAAATCCCATTTTCAATAACACAATTCAACACCTCTATCTTCTCCAAAAGTTTGCTACCTATGAGATAAGCCATATAGGCATCATGTATTGCAAGCTTGATCTGCTCAGCTGAAAACACCCGTGCGCTCCATGCAGGTGTTTTGGTGGCAGAAAAAGTTGACTGCTTCAATGTTACTCCAACTGCTTGAGCCAACTTTTTCAATCCATGTTCTTGAATGAGATCAGGGTTCTTTAGAACTCTAGCAGCCAAATAGCCCAGCTCAACCCCAGTATTACATTCAGCGCTAATTTTTATGATTTTTCCTTTGATGTTAATGGAGTAACTCAAAATGTCACTCATCCTAACACCAACAAAACAAACAGTCGCTTGAGAAAATAAATCACCAAGCAATAAGGGATAAGAGTCAAAAGAATGTAACTGAATTATGAGGAATTCAGTCCCAGCGTAGAGAGTGAGCAACCGCGCTACATCGTTCAGAGTCTTAACGTCAAGAGCAACAAGACGTTTTTCTCTAAAAATGAACTTATACATTTCATAAATGTGTATCAACTAGGCTGGACCAATCAGCTATGTGTGTCTTAACCTTGACACCATGAATTTCAACTTCGTATGAGCACATTTTGTGGAGAAAATCCAATGGAATGTTCATGATCTTGAATCATTGCCTGCAATTTGGGGAATAATCTAATTCCAAACACATCTGATTTTATAGAGGGAGGCCTAACCATGATGGAAAGGATCGATACAGTGAAAGCAAACTGTATCAACAGAGTCTCTTCGGGAAAAGAAGAGACTTCTTAATCTCACTGACAAAGTCTAACAGTATCCTTGCAATGACATAATTTGTCAAAACATTGTGCATTGCAAGTTTAATCTGCTCATTAGAGAACAACCAAGCATCCCACTTAGTGTTGTTTCACTTCTTTAGAGTTGACTCCTCCATTTCTATTTCAGCAGCATCAGTTAAGTCAGCTAATCCATTGGTATTCCTCCATGAGATTGCGATCGTGGGGCACTCTTGCAGCCAAATAGCCTAGATCAACCCCAAAGTTCAGTAATTGATTGCAACCTAAAACCCTCATTCTGTCACCTAGACTAGACCAAATTTACACATTTCTTTACCAACAAAACATCCAGTCTCATCAGATGAAAACTACTCTAGGCTTTCCGGAAAAGAATCAAGAAAGCCTAACTGAACTATGAGGCAGTGAGTCCTAAGGCAGAGAATGAGCAAATATGCATCATGTCTACTATCCATCCTAACATCAACAGCCACCAACGCCTTTCACTGATGATAAACCTAAACATATCAATGTAGTAATCAAGAGGGTCTAATGTAAAAAAGACATTAAATTATATATAAAATTTAAAATAGAACATTTTTATGTAGTTCAGACAGAACTTAGCAAATATAAACAGCAGAACAAAGTGTAGAAGAGAACATACCGGCAAAATACAACCCATATCACATACATAACCCCATTAAACTTTCAAAAGTTTGAAGCAATTCGACACCTAAATCTTTTCCAAAAGTTTGAACCCTATAAGATACTCTGCGTGAGCATCATGTATTGCAAGCTTGATCTGCTCAGCTGTAAACACCCTTGCACTCCATGTGGTATTCTGCTCAACAGTAAATCTTTTCCAAAAGTTTGAACCCTATGAGGTATTCTGCATAAGCATCATGTATTGCAAGCTTGATCTGCTCAGCTGTAAACACCCTTGCACTCCATGCAGGTGTTTTGGTGCCGAATAAAGTTGGCTGCTTCAATGTTACTCCAGCTGCTTCAGCCAACTTTTCCAAACTACGTTCTTGAATGAGATCAGGATTCTTTAGAACTCTGGCCGCCATATAACCCAGGTCAATTCCATTCTTACAGGCTGCACCAATTTTCAAGATTTGTCCTAATTTGAAGGTAATGGAGGACCTCAAAATAAGACTCATTCTGGCACTAACAAAACAAAAATCCTCCTGACTAAATAAATCACTGAGGTTATAGGGATAAGACTCCAAGTAGCCTAACTGAATTATGAAGCATTGAGTTCCAGCACAGAGAATGAGCAACTGAGGTACATTGTTCTCATCAGTCTTGACATCAAGAGAAAAAAGACGACTCCTCCATAGACTACAGGACTTCATAGAAGTTTTCGTTTGAGCAATATGCGAATCAACCAAGGCAGCATGATCAATCAAGTGTGCCTTGACACAGACACCATGAATTTGAACTTGACATGTGCTCATACTGGATAGCAAAGACAATGGAATGTTCATCTTGAAACCTTGCAGGCAATTTGTGGGATAAAATTATTCCATACACTTCTGATTTTATAGAGGCCTAATCATGGAAATGATGCAGTAAATGCAAACTGAATGGCAACAAAGTGTCATTGGGAATTTACTAATCTGACTGATAAAAAGCAGTGGGAGCATAACTAAGAGTTTGCTTTAAAAAAAAGGGGTTTGCTTTAAAATGATGTTCATTTTCTTTGGTCACCTTGCTCCACTCTTAATTACACTAACTTAGGAGTACTCAACAAAAGTCAGGATATGGAACTACATGAAGTACTGCAAATTCCAAAACAAATTCTCAGGGATTTCATTTTGAATTCCACGGGTCCCATGGCCCTCTTGTTGCAAGTTACAATCCATTATTTACGAGTCAACGGACCATTCTCTCTTTTCCTTTTTCCTTTTCCTTTTCCTTTTCCTTTTTCTTTTTCTTTTTTCCTTTTTCTTTTTCTTTTTTCTTTTTTGAAGAGGGATAAGAATCAAAGCCCATTCAAAATCATAAAAAAATTATTTTTTTAATATGTACTTTAAAAATACTTTAAAATATAGATTAATAGTATTTTTTATCATAAATTTATTTAAAAATATAAAATTAAA